CGCTCACTCGTGAGAGATCTTTTCATATCTCGGCGCACCCATGTAATATCCTCTATGTTCGTAGTGTCATTGAGTTATCGTGATATTTTCGTTTTAGCATCGGAAAGATAGATCATAGATGATAAACAAAAGTACATTGAAAATTTACTGAATATTTCTAACTGTAAGTCGTTAGAGTTGAAAACTATATTATGATCTCATAATTAGTTGCGTTTCCTCCCTCCCCTCATGGTGGGTCGCAGCAAATGACAGCGGATCCCCTTACATAGCCTGCTTTGAACAGCACAAACCCCATAAAAGCACTTTTTATCTAACTCAAATCCGGGTGTAGCTCCAAAGTGTTCCTCGACTGATACAATTGTAACTTTTATGACATATCGTCGGCAAAGTAAAAATACGAAGTTTTTTGTACTCCATATTTCCAAAGCCTTCGAGATCGTATAACCATCATCTCATTATAGATTAAAGAAAAATTACCGCGATCTTTACTAACTCTGAGTTTGGGCTACCTACTTTACTTTTGTTTCATTTTGAGTTAGAGAGCATGATCACGTGGTCCATGACGAAAGTAGTTCGAGCGAGTGACAGATGTCAAATATATTGCTTTGCTTCGTCTTTTCTAGAAACTACTAATCCAGCAGTTCCATCAAAACAAAAGGAAAATAGGCTCTGCTAGGAGGGAACATCCCATCCAAACTAAGCTATATTCTCGAAGCATCAAAGCTCTCGTTTGCCGAAAATATTTGGATTTTCATGCTTAATTTGAAGCCAGAAAGATTCAATTATTAACCATATAAAGACGAATATTAATACGTAACGTTCTCGTTTTTTTTTTAAAACAATACTTGATCTCCTCTTACAAATTATTCACTAACTTATATTTTCGAAGAGTCAAAGCTCACGTTTGATTTGGATTTTCGTTCTTAATTTGAAGTCAAAATGATTCCATGTTTAAAGGAATAATTCGTGTTTGAAGAACCAAAACTCATTCACCTTCAAAGGTGAATGCAGAAGGTCAACGAAGCATTGAAAGTATCAAATTAGCTAGCTGACGTTTTATCAAGCGATGAAGAAGAATATGGCGTACGATCCCCGCCAAAATTCGTGCCTTGAATTTGACATTCAAGTTTCAAATTCAACATACAAATATTACACTCGACATTCAAGTTTCGAATTTTACGCTCAAGTTTTGAACTTCAGCACTCAAGTTTTATATTCTACATTCATTTTTTAAACTCGACATGCAAGATTTGTATTCTACATTCATCTTTTAAATTCGACATGTTATCAAGTTTATATCTGCCAAAGTTTTGATTTCAGGAAGAGTATACTGGCGTAACAAAAGGAATTGGATCAAAATTTCGAAACTTTTAATTTGGAAATCCTTGTGGATTTTAGTGATATCAGTAGATATGAAATGAGCATTCTACATGGGTGACGTCATGATTTATTTTGATCATCGATCGTCTGTATTTTATATTAACGAATTAGTTATTCCTAATATATTGTATGTCTACGGTTTTTTTTTTGTGTGTTCGTTTTTTGTTTTTGTTCTCATTATCTTCTCATCTGAGTGATTGCCAGTTGGATTCACCTCAGTGCAACTTGTCGCTGCGATATATGTAAATAATGAATAAACGTCATGCATCATGAGAAGTTTGATTATATTTATTTTGATTTAAGTCGACGCCAAAATCGTAAATTATGGCCTCAATTCTGCAGTTTGAGGTTTCTCTGGTCGGGTAGAAGATCATGCAGACACTGATGATTATCATCAGACATGAATTTGTTAAACTTGATTTATTGTTCATCATATTATTATGTGTAACATATTGTCAAGGTTCGCTGAATGCAGTAAATATTGACCACAAGTGTTTTTCACTCAAGTTTTTTTATTTTGCATTTATAACTTTATTGGTTTACAGTTTAGTTCAGTATTACTTTTGAACACGGTTACAACTGCTTAGAAATTTTCCTACTTGGGCAAGGACTTCGCAATTACTCTCAATCGTTCTGAAAATCGTGAAGGCTTTACTACATCTTTATATTTATGAGCATCTTGATAACTTATCCGCTTGACTGGTTTTTCTTTACTTGGTGGTGGAGTGGGTAAGAATTCTGGTGGGGGTGGTAGGGTCTTTGCTTTGGGAGTGCTGAAGGATGCAGAGGTTGATCATAACTCACGGTAGTGGGTTTTAATGGAGTAGGAGGAACCTCGGTCAAAGTTGAGGATTTCGCTTTGGGCTACGCATCTTGAAAGAAAATCGAACGAATGAGCAAACAATGTGCATATTACATAGTGTTATAATAATGACTTGCATTTTTTATTGCCTACAGTTAGGCAAAACATGATAGCTTTTTTCATATTTTATATTGTTGTTCCATATTTTTTCTAATTAAAAGGCATTCTTCAATGTCATCGTATTAATAAATTCAAATCATTTTAGTTTTATGTTGTGCAATTCTTACCTTTGGTGTCCTAGTGTCCTAGTGTCCTAGTGTCCTAGTGTCCTAGTGTCCTAGTGTCCTAGTGTCCTAGTGTCCTAGTGTGTACTTGAAAAGGGTATTAAGATAAACCCTTTGATATACATAAATCTTCTGGCAAAATTCGGGAAAATTACACCAAGAAAGAACCAACATTTTTGAATCATGCATCATGTAGAATATTTACTTGCAGATATTCAGGGCTTAATATTCTGCTTACGGAGTTCAGTTATCCCTTTAAAGGGCTTAAATATTGTCACTGTAACATTCTGAGTCAGTTTCACATCGCATCGGTTCTATGTATTAACAATCGTTCATGAAGCGACGTTGTTGACATGCTTCGTGTTGCACAAACACACCAATTCAGTGGTCGTTTTTTGCAATAAATTCTTTCTAGATATTGCAAAACCTAAAAGCACTTTAATCAAACAACACTTGACACATTCTGTCCACGAAACATGTGTGCCTTAAGCTTGTTCCAAAACAAAAACCAGATAAAATTCACTACAAAAATGGGTGCGCCTTTAAATCACTGAATCCTACCGAATCATGGTTTGAAAACGTTGGTCAAACGTTTCCCAGACGATAATATATATTTAGGCACTGCCTAAAAACGGAGCTCCCGATACGAAATTAGGGAGCCAGGGAGCCCAAATTGAATGAATCTGAAAGGCATTTTACGATTTTACCAGTTTTCATCTGTTTTCATGTGTGAGAAAGATACGGAAATCACGAACGACAAGAGTTTTTTTTACAGAGTTAATATGGGGAACGAAACAGAAATTTCAAAAGGCGATCGCATGCATGTGGGAGATGGTCACTACGAGAGTGGTCGTCCAAAGACAGCCGACCGTATATTTTTCGCTAGTTAAATAGGCCATGAAGTATATCTCGGTAAATTGGATGGCATAGTGTCTACTGCTTATTAATATGCCGTAGACACAACAACCAAGTGACCCATGTCGAAGGTATAGCTAATCGAGGAGATTCTAGAAAATGGATATTACACAACCGATTTTATTATTTTCACTTAAAGTTAGAACAATAATGCAATTAAACTAAGATCTACTCCGATCTCCTATGAAAATTATCAAGTACAAGAGACGAGCGAAGGACTAAGATCGAGTGCAAAGGTTATGATTAATATTATTGAAAAAGTATTTCCACACAAGAAAGAGCACATCAAAATTAACAGGTTTCAGCAGTACGTATGGCTTCGATTGCCATTTTTTATTTATTTTTGAGATGTTTGGGAGGTTAATCGTTGCTACACAAAAGATATGAAATTGAACATGATCTTGAAACTCCAGAAATTTACTAATTTCGATGATTTCTTTCTTGTTGTTATGGTAATCTTATGACGTCACTCTTATGACGCGTTGCATTATAGGTCGAAGCTTCTCGAAGTCATGAACTTTGTTTGTGAAAGCTAAAAGGGTTTAGTAACGTTTACGTTTATTAATAGACAACGCTTTCGCATCACCTCTAACCATGAAACGACGAAAGATTCGCTAACTATAGTTTGAAGAATCGAATCATCGCTTCTTGATGGTTTCAAGATGCATCGAAGACACAAAGGATCGAGCATAATCAAGCTTATCATGTTGAGAAATTAGCGATCTTAAAAACCAGTATAATATACGATGGAGGCTTGGCAGAGCATTAACAAACATGAGAAAGACAGCACAACTGAGTCGAAACAAAGTATCGGTCCTGGGGAATTGAGGACTCCGTCTCGTCTCAAATCAGGAATGCAGGCTCGAGAAAGCACTGAGAAACATGAGAAGCACAGCACAACTGAGTCGGAAACAAGTATGAAACCTTTCAAATCGATCAATCCCAAAGCAATCAAGCTTGATGTTAACAATTCATCAAGTGACGCATACGAAGAAGGCTTACTTGCTAGCGATAGCTCATCTGGTACATCTACAAGTTCAAGTTCTAGAATTGTCATCAAGTTATCTGCCGAACGTTTAATTTCGCAAAAAGGATTGAAAGAATACCTTAAGGAATGCTATACTAAATATGACCGCTTTGAACTTCAAACTTCGTACTTGGAATTTCGTGTGAATTTAAGTGAGCTCGAGCACGAGTTTGGTAAAAAAGTTGCAAGGCAAAAAACAAGTATTTCAGAGTATTCTTCGGGTCACATTCGTCAGTCACTGCTAGTAAATCAATCATATACTTTTCCTCTCATGGGAACACAGACTGAAGGAAAATGTTCGGTTTCTGATTGGACCATAAAAACGTTAAGTGAGATTATATACGATTTGAGTGAATTAGCTCACCTCGAAAGTGTAAATGTCTCTAATTGTACATTACCGGCTCAAATTTCTTTACTGCCTCGATTATTATTATCAGCATATGACATGAAGATGTCGTCCGTGAAAATTATCTGCAAATTTTCTAACGATTTTTTGTATTTAAAACAAGACGAATTTATGTTTATTGCAATGCTGACAAAGCCATTGGTCGAAAACGGTGAAGTATCAAATAAGCAATTGCAAGATCTAATTAATTGTAGTCTCATGTTACTGCAGGGCCGTGTATACAATGAAGAGTTAATCTACGATGCAATAATTGAAGCTGGTGTTGATGTCAACAAACCTGATAAGGATGGCAAAACAGCTTTGCTCCATGATGTATGGGATGTAAAGGTAGTCCATGCACTGATTGAAGCTGGTGCTCATGTCAACATAACTGATAAGGATGGCAAAACAGCTTTGTTCTATGCTCTATCGAAAGATCATGAAGAGGTAACCCATGCACTGATTAAAGCTGGTGCTCATGTCAACATAATTGATAAGCATGGCAAAACAGCTTTGTTTCATGCCGTACAGAATGAAAAGGTAACCCATGCACTGATTAAAGCTGGTGCTCATGTCAACATAATTGATAAGCATGGCAAAACAGCTTTGTTTCATGCAGTACGGAATGAAAAGGTAACCCAAGCACTGATTAAAGCTGGTGCTGATGTCAACATAACTGACAAGGATGGTAAAACACCTTTGTTCTATTCTGTATACAATGAAAAGGTAGCACATGCACTAATTAAAGCTGGTGCTGATGTCAACATAATTGATAAGCATGGCGAAACAGCTTTGTTTCATGCCGTACGGAATGAAAAGGTAACCCATGCACTGATTGAAGCGCATGCTGATGTAAACAAGATTGACAAGGATGGCAAAACAGCTTTGTTCCATGCTGTACTGAATGAAAAGGTAACCCATGCACTGATTGAAGCTGGTGCTGATGTCAACAAGATTGACAAGGAAGGCAAAACACCTTTGCTCTATTCTGTATACAATGAAAAGGTAGCACATGCACTAATTAAAGCTGGTGCTGATGTCAACATAACTGACGAGGATGGCGAAACAGCTTTGTTGCATGCTGTACGGAATCATCATGAAAAGGTAGCTCATGCACTGATTGAAGCTGGTGCTGATGTCAATATAACTGACAAGGATGGCAAAACAGCTTTGTTGCATGCTTTACTGAAGCATCATGAAAGGGTAGCTCATGCACTGATTGAAGCTGGTGCTGATGTCAACAAGACTGATAAGGATGGCAAAACACCTTTGTTCTATTCTGTATACAATGAAAAGGTAACCCATGCACTAATTAAAGCTGGTGCTGATGTCAACATAACTGACRAGGATGGCRAAACAGCTTTGTTGCATGYYKTAMGGAAKCATCATGAAAAGTTAGCTCATGCACTGATTGAAGCTAGTGCTGATGTCAACATAACTGACAAGGATGGCGAAACAGCTTTGTTGCATGCTGTACGGAATCATCATGAAAAGTTAGCTCATGCACTGATTGAA